GTGGCAGACAATTAAGTAGTGATGAAGCTTTAGCGTATTATATAGACTCTAAGTGCACCACTCACTCTTACAAGCAGACAAGGAAATGGTCTATGAAGGCGGGACATAGAGTCCCTGTTAAAAGGTTGAATAAATTACCCGCAGAAGTTTTAGACATGATTATCCCGCCTTCACAGCCACCATTACAGGTACCAAGTAACCTTGATCATACTGATGAAAATTATTTGATACCTGATTCATCTGAATCTGAATGTGAGAGTGATTAATTATAAATTGGTATTAGTACTTACTATAATTATATTTAATATTTATTTATATAATACTTACAAAAATCTTATTCGGTTTAGATATATGTTTTTTTAGATATACATAATATTTGCATTTCATTTGAATTTATTTTAATTTTCAGCCTTATACATAATGTAACGTTTTGTTTTTGTATTTGTAATGTTTTTGTAGTCACTTTTTGCATACATTCATTTTAATTTAGTGTGTATCATTAATTATATAATTAAACCGGTCATTAATATATTTATATTTTTTTATTCATACCAATAACACCAGAACTCAGGAAAAATAATAATTTTGGCTTATTTTCATTCATCATAAGTGATATAAGTCAAAAAATATTTTTGTCCAGCTAGCATGTTCTAGTCGACACACTGTGGGTCGTGGTGGAGCATACAGTGGCGGTGTGTCCTGCTTGGGCTGGGCGCCGACGTGTCCTCAGAGATGTGATCGGCGACGGTGACCTGTCGCGTTCGGCTCTAGTTCAGGCCATGGTACGGAACGAGGGGGACTGGGATGCCGTCTCCGCCTTCTGCGAAGTAGTCATGCTAGCCAAAGAGGAGGAGGAGCGCGCACATCACGCGCTCCTCCGCTTCCTGGCTAACATGACTTTCCCCCCTCAAAAAAAAGATAGAAAAGAAAAACCTTAAATTAGTTCTCTAGGTTCTTCTACTACTAGGCCTGCGTATACCTTTATCAAGTAAATAATAAAAACAAGGTCTATTGTAGCCAGTAAGTGTCGGACACTCCCTTTTGCCTCACCAAAAGGAAGAAGACATTAGATGATATTCTTCCGTAAAAAAGATACTTCTACTACAAATTGGGGACTCTCTCTCATTTCCAAATATTTGGGTATATGTTTCTCTAAAGCAAACACATTGGTTGATCGTCTATTCTTATCAACAGCGTTATTAACATTTCATTAGAACATTCCAGATTTACATTATGTCATATCTACTATTATTATCAAACTACAAGTACCTGCAGTCAGTTCAACAGTCTACTGTCGAACTATGAATATTCTCTATATAGGAGGGTTTGCCATAATCTGATAGACTATCAACATAATTAATATTGATTGATGATCACACCAATAAATTCAATTAACAATTATTATTATTATCAAAACATTATATTAATGTATAAATAATTTAAAGGGACGTCTGGTCATGTCCCGTTTTGAACTTGACTGTCACATTTTATATAAAAAAAAATATAACGAATCCCGTTGTTCCCGAAATGAACATTGGGACGCAAACTCGCCACCCCAAGGTGGCGCGTTCCCGCGGCCATGAAAACACATGGCCTCGGACTTGTGGAGCGCCACTTCGAGTCCCAACTGCCGGATTCTTTCAACGACTGTCGCCATTTGATCGGCCGCCGCCTGGTGCGACCTCCCATGCGCCAGCACCAGCGTGTCGTCGGCGTAGCATATGATGGTAACGCCGTTCAGGAGGTTGGTGCGCAGCACCCGGTCATAACCAATGTTCCACAGGAGCGGCCCCAGAACCGATTTCTGTGGAACACCGCGTGACATCTCTCGCCGGTTCCACTCCCCGCCCCGGTGACAGGGGTAACTAATGGATCTATCCGTCAGGTACGCCTCAGTTACTCGACGGAGATAGGTAGGCACCCGATGATATCGCAGTGCCTCCAAAATGCAGGTCCAGGGCAGGGAGTTGAAGACGTTGGCGATGCCCAAAGAAACTGCCACATCGACATTACCCCTGGACACTGCAGTCTCCGTCGTCCAGTCCCTAACGCGCATGATGGCGTCCTCCGTGGAGCGCCCTCTATGGAAGCCGAACTGGCCGTCCGACAAGTCCGGCCCAATTTCAGACAGGTGCGCGACGTGGCGGTTCGAAATAATTCTCTCGAAGACTTTCCCCACCTCCTTGAGCAGCACTATGGGCCGGTACGCGGACGGAGAGTCCGCAAGGCGCCCCGCCGTGGCGCGCCTTGCCGTGCAAGCCATCGGGTCCTGGGGCGGTGTTCTTGGCGCCCATCCGGTGCACCGCTACTCTCAGTTCTGCCTCGGTCACCTCTGGGACGATGTCGTCGTCGTCGTCGCTGTAGCCCGCGTCGGGCACCGCAGGGGGCGGAGTCATATACGGAGGGGTGAAGCCCGTCCACAATCGGGGGAACAGGGCGCCAATCACATCCTCTAAGACTTCTGGCCGGGGACTCTGAGTGAGCGGGGGAGCCCAAGCGCGGAGCTTGTTGCGTACCATCCGGTACGGGAAGGGACGACCCCACGGGTCTCTGTTCAGAGTCCCCAGCATCTCTCGGCGGGCCTCCTCCTTGCCCCGCAATATCTCCGCCTTGAGGAGGGCCTTCGCCGCCCTGTATCCCTCGTATAACTCCGCCTCTCTCGCCTCCGCATTCGGAGAACGGATACGGCGCTTGCGGTGCCTAGTGTACTGGCGTCGCGCAGTAGTGCACGCCTTCCGCAGAGCCGCCAGCTCTTGCGACCACCAGTACACCTGGCGCTTTTGTTGACTTGATCGGATCCGGGGCATCGCCACGACACAGATTCTGGACATGGCGTCCTGGAGCCACTTGGCCTCATCGTCAATGTCGGCAGGCCTGACCGGTGGTATCACCCAGGCCTGCAGGATTGCGGCTTCCATTAAAAGCTCCCGGTCCAGCTGTCTCAACGCCCAACGCTGGCCACATGGGGCCTGTCTGACAGAAGGTTTCTGTGTATAGGTTCTATAATAGGATATAGCTACTAGATGCCTGACTGAATCTAAATAAACGGTCACGTAGTGTATGATTGAAAGAGACTCAGAGAATATGTATGAGAGTCTATCAATTAGCAAGACTTCATGGTCCCATAGGACTTTGTTACAATAAATTATTTTTCTTATAGATGATATTAAGGTGACAAACTAGCTTATAAATGTTGGAAATAGTTTCTGTGGCCTTCATTCATAGAGACGTCATATCGCTAGACCGTGTGCAAACCTTTTCAGTTCCTTTCTGATATAATGTAATTAGTTTATTGTGGGCAACTCTGATTACAATTTTAAGTCTGACATCACTGTTCTGCCCAAAATAAGGGTATTACCCTGTTTGTTAGTTAAAGTGACTTGATAAAAATCTAAGACTTATAAAGATAATAATATCATAATTAAATCATTGCAGGTTTAGCGGCATTGGTGCTAGCGTTCGTCAGTTTACTAAATGGGATCCTGGTAATGTTCTCCCACAAAGTGTCTTCCTCTGCCATCGGCATGTTCTGGATAAAGTTCTTCCACTACCTCAGTGGTATCGCCAGTATACTTGTGGGAACTGGAAGCCTCTGTGCGGCCTTTAACTATAACTCATTCAAGACTTGGACTGGTGAAGGAGATGGCTTCATATTAACGCTCATGGTTTTAACCTGCCTCTTCAGTGTATTGATAACGTTGGATTTCTGGATCGCAACAGGCATTAAATTCCGAACACGATCAAAATAGATATGCCTATATCCTTATTTGCGGATACGATTAGGTATAAAGTTGTTATCAAAATTTTAAATGATTGGTATATTTTATTGTAACTGTTATCGATTTTAATAAATACCTTTTACATGACACAATAAAATTACCTACCTATTTTTCTAGAAGTTTTCATGGTTTTTTCCCTGTTATCTGTACATACATACATACATGATTACTGAACTCCTTCAGTAATCATGTAAAGTTGAGCAGCAAGTATCTCCATATTTATTGCTACTGGCTGCTGTTTATATGCAGTAAAAGTCTGACACTCAATTCCGCCTCACCCAGGCGGGAGAAGTCATTCGATGATTTTCCCCTTTAAAAAAAAGGTTGTGTATTTTTTATCCCGAAAAAGTATGTATATACACAAAAAACAACTAAATTGCGGCCCGATGCCTAGACAAAGTTACTATAGCAGACGCAAATATAAGTTTGTCGAATGTTTGGTTGCCCGCAGTGGACTTTACTCTGTAACTGTAGGGTCGATGGTTGAAATCAGCTTGCAGCAAGTAGCAATAATTATCTCCATATTTATTGCTACTGACTGCTCAACTTTGCGAGATGGGTCATTTGGCCAGAGCATTATTAAGTTGTTGCGACAACTCTTGGTGGTGAGGCTGGATTACGAAAAATCAGCCTGCGTTTGTTTTTACGAAGAGTGCTGGTTTACCCTACGGCTCTCTTGTATTAGGTACTGTGATGGAATCATTGAGTTTGAAGGATTTTGTCGAGTAGTAGGTAACTAATATCTGCAAACAGCGAGAGCTCTACATAGGGATGGAATCGTATGTTACTAGTATATAGTGTGAAGATGAGAGTATATAGTACGGCACCAAGAAGCGTTTTAACAATAAGTCTCGTAATATGATCACAAGATGGTCTGGCATGCCAAGTTGATATACATAATAATATAGTGAAAATCAAGCCATTGTGCCAGAATTTGTCGAATGGTTTCGCAATGTCGAAGAATGCGTCATCATACCGCAATGACAGTCTGAACTGATATACTCGACGAAGCGGCGTACCCGGTCGATATAAGAGCGGCGGGCTCAGAAGCCGATTGTGGCAAAGGGATGAGGATCTTTGTTACAGTCCAAATATAGTATATTTGTTTCCATTACGTCACATTAACTGATGAATATTTGGACGAGGGAGCAGCCCATTGTTATCGTTAATATATCGTAAGGATTAAAGATAAATTATCAACTTGTCGAATATTTATGTCGATGTCTGCGCTCCTGATTGCACAGTGTCACTCGTTGCTTACAGTTGTTAATGAATTAACAAAATGTCATCTCCACCAAAGGTTTCGTTATACGTAGGGTGTATGAATGCGATCTATACCGTCGCTCATATATTGATGGGTGGAGCAGTTTTTCTTACATTTGCGTTAGCAGATTTAAATGAAAATGCATTATATAAAGCACACGCTTGTACGACTATAATTGGGGTAAGTACTAATTTTGATTTTGTAATTTTAAGTCGAAACTAACATGAAAGTCACAAAATGTGAAAGTTAACTAATTACTTCATCACGATGTCGGTTAACTTAGTTATTATTAAATAATAATTAAGACCTAATCGTCAGCTTACGAAATTCTAATATATTTTTATGGCATAAGCCGGTAAACGAACGGACGGATCACCTGATGGTAAGCAATCGGCTTCACCCATGGACACCTGGAATACCAGAGGCGTTACAAGTGCGTTACAGGTTCTTTGGGGATTAGGAGTTTGAGGATCGTTGGGGATTCAGGGATTGAGGAAATTGGCGAAGGGTAGGGGGTTAATTGGGCCTCAGGAAACTTACTCACACGACGAAACACAAAGTAAGTGTTGTTTCACGTTGGATTTCTGTGAGGCCGAGGTATCGCTCAAGTCGAGCCGCCCCATTCATGCCGAAGCATGCACCCACACTTACATACGATAAAATATAGCTAATTCATTGTCTTTGTACAACTGTCTATTTTTTAACTATCCTAATATGAACGAATCATTTGTTTTGAGTATAGTTAGTTAGATTTATTAATATAATTATTTATTATTTCCAGGTCACACTACTTTGCAGTCAAGCGGTATTGTCAGTTAACCCTTATGTTGGATTCGAAGACAATTTTATGTACCCACACAAGTCGAAAACTTACTGGCTCATTCAAATACTTGGCTCTGCGTTAGTACTAAGTGGAGCTTGTATCGGTATAGCGTCGGTTGGTGAAACTGTTTCTGCTATCGATGATTTTCCGTTTCCCATACCAGGCTTACCAGGCGTAAGCGTCAAGCACTTGCAAACTGATCATGGAATTATAGGTGAGTTTTTATATATTCGTTGTCCATTGAACCAAAATTTTGATAAAAATGTACATTGATCTATGTTGAACAAAAATTATATTGATGGGTCAGCAAATTAATTTTTTTATGCCATAAGCCGATAAACAAGCAGACGGATCACCTGATCGTAAGCAATCGGCGTCGCCCATGGACACCTGGAACACCAGAGGCGTTACAATTGCGTTACCGGACTTTTGGGGATGAGGAGTTTGAGGATCGTTGGGGATTCTAGAATTGGGGAGATTGGGGAAGGGGAGGGTAATAGGGCCTCCAGTAACCTCACTCACGCGACGAAACACAACGCAAGTGTTGCTTCACGTCGGTTTTCTGTGAGGCCGTGGTATCAATCCGGTCGACCCGGCCCATTCGTGCCGAAGCATGGCTCTGCCACACTTAAAAACGTTACGCCAGGTTTCAATAAATATATCAGTAGATTTACCTACCTGCGATAGCCCCATACAAATAGTGTCAAAATTTTACAAATCAACGCCTACAGAGATCATAAATGAGGTCCAAACGATGTAACTGACAGATTAGTAGCACCGGCTGCTAGAATGGAAAAGATACCACTGGCGTCTATTATTATTACTTGTCTTTGGTCGCATTTCCTACTTGCATGTCCATAAAAAATGGCAACTTTCATGATGTTGTGATGACATTTTATTTTTAATAGAATTTTTAATGCTCATAATTTTAATGGACGTTTGTTATACGATAACTTTTAATTACATAGGTATTCTTATAACAATACTTTCACTAACTATATTTGAATATGCAACAAGCCTTCTCTGTGATAATTTATTTTTTATTGACACCATCACTGATGTGCACCAAAAAGAAAAAATCTTTTGAGATAGGTACTATGATATTTTAGATTTTCTCCTCTGGTGTTGCGGGTGTCCATGGGCGGCGCTGCTTGCTTACCATCAGGTGATTCGTCTGCTCGTTTGCCACCTATTTCATAAAAAAAGAATACAGGAACTTTTAATGGTACGAATCGTCAGACTCGGAACAATCACCTGGTACTGATCTGGTGATTGCTCTGGCTCCACGTCCTTTTAAAAATCCAACGTAACGGATATATACGCTTGCGTAACGATACGGCCCTATGAATAAGGTGATCCTAGTAGAAGTCTTTATATACACAAATACACAAATAGATGGTGTGACATAATTGGACGAATGTCAATCCCACAAATTGACTTCTCTAAGTAATCGTTCGACTAACCGATTGAATAGCTCTAAGGAGGATGAATAGTATGTAGGTATGTGCAAATGTGCAAATCTATTGCGTTGCCAAATAATTTAACTGTAATGCCGTTTTATAGAAACGTTATATGATAAGTAACAAATATGAAGACGTCATATCTTTGATTATTGTTCAGTTAAGCCGATTATGGAGTTTCAGTCTAAAATCGATCTTAATCCACAGATTTGGATAAAGATAACTTATTAATTTCTGTCGTAAAAGTTGTCAATGCAACATGTAAACAACATTTTAGATATGTATCATTATTATTTATATAATTCTGTCTTTGTTTCAGGTTTCTTAGTGTTGCTGTTGGCTGCCGTGACTTTGGTAGGTGCTATTGCAAACTTAGTGATTGCAGAAAGACTAAAAAGTTTTATGAAGATTTTGTACATGCTTCTAGGAACTGGCACTATAATACTGGCCTATATAGCTGTCTGTATTAAGTTTGGCGATTATAATAAGACATTATCGTTATTTGGTGATGAAATTGCAATTTTGTCTTTGGGTATAAGTTTTTCTGTCCTATCATTTGGCGCATTGTTGGTCATGATGGGTGGTCGAGTTTTCGTGACTCGTAGTATTCAGTTTTAAGTATAACTAAGTATTATCAATTAGAATATTTCTCACTAATAATTCCGATCAATCGTCAGTTACATAATGTAAATTTTCCAACATTTTTCATTATTTTCTTAATGATGACACTATATATTATCAAAACTTGTTAGTTTAGTCAATTATACCATAAATTTATTTTATTCTATAAGGCATAAAATATTCTTGAATGTCCAGGATATCATTTTTGCTCGATAACAGTGAGACGTATTAAATTAAGCCTGACGTCACTACACCTTGCTTGAAGCTCATGAATACGAATCCCGGAGTAACTTGAATCTAATAGAGCTTTTCTTGTGTAGATCGCATGAAGGAACCGTATATTTCAATTTATTAATCGGCAAATTTGTATCTATATTTTTTGAATATGTAAAGTGTCGTCTCCTGTATTTTTTATTTTATTTAAGTTGTTAAAGTACCTACAAAAAAATTCAAAGTAACTTTATTTGTAGATCTTTTTGAATAAACATTTTCAAATGTTAAAATAAACTTATAAACCGGACTTTGTTTTTGTTTTCCTGTTACGTTAATAGATTTTTAGTTCGGATCTCTGAATTTAATTTGCAAGAGTTCCAAGCTAACACTAACAATTTATAATTTTTCTAGAAACTAAACAAAATACTTTCCTTGACATTGAAAATAATCGTTCACACAAATTGTCAAAACTAACTCTGCTCAGGAATTTCCTTAATAGATTGGTAACGTTTGCATCACAATCCGTTCAGCCGTTTTCGCGTGATGCGCATTGAATTCAACAGATAAACAGACATATATTCTAAAAATGGTTGGCTCGTATTCTGTCATTAATTAAGTGTCCCAAACATTTTTTAGAATATCTTCTATGTATAAACGTTCGGAAATAGATAGATAGAAGAAAAAATAAATAGATTATAATCTATACGTCATACCATCACGCCTTTGCCCCCGAAGGGGAAGGCAGAGGTGCACGTTATGCTCCTGTACAATGTAACACCCACTTTTTACTATTTATGTTTAAAAGAACTTACACCTGATATCTAACATTTTAGAGACTAGAACAATTATTATTTAAGGCCAAGTTTTTTTTTATAACTAAAATCTTTTTAGGGGCTTATATCATAGATATGTCAGCCCCATCGTACCCTTTACATTACTTTACGTACTTTACATTACTTGACTATTACATTTTCTTTAGGTACTCTAGAGAATCGCTTGATTAATTATACGTGGAGGACCAAAATCAAATTACACAACTTTTTCATAATCGCTGAAGATGGTACAGATAAAATGCCTACATCAAATTTATTTATTTTAAAATTGTTCACGAATATCTCACGTTCTATTCCGTTCCGAGCACACTCCATCAGCAATATCCAAAGGCAAGTGTTTATTCACAGTCGAAATATGAGTTTGTTTTTATTACGTCACATTCATTATTGGTCGATAGTTGGACGAGGGAACAACCCATTGTTATCGTTGATGGATCGACGGGATTAAAGATAAAGTATGTACTTATCGAATATTTATGTCGATGTCTGCGCTCCTGATTGCACAGTGTCACTCGTTGCTTGCAGTTGTTAATGAATTAACAAAATGGCATCTCCACCTAAAATTTCGTTATACGTAGGGTGTATGAATGCGATCAACACCGTCGCTCATATATTAATGGGTGGAGCATTGTTCCTTACATTTGCATTAGCAGATGGAAATGATCCCGCATTGTATAAAGCACACGCCTGTATGACAATTCTTGGGGTAAGTACTATTTTTGGATTTTGTAATTTTGAGTTAAAACTTACATAACAGACACAAAATGTGGAACTGAGTCAACCACTACAACTATTAAATTATGATGAAGACCTAATTTCTAATAACTTTTCATAAAACATACCTAATTCATTGTTTTTGTAAAACAATCTTGTTTTAGAACCATACCATAATAATTATACGAACGTATCATTTGTTTTAGGTGCAGTTACGAAGATTTATTAATTTAATTATTTAATATTTTCAGGTCACACTACTTTGCAGTCAAGCGATACTGTCAGTTAACCCTTATGTTGGATTCGAAGACAATTTTATGTACCCACAGAAGTCGAAAACTTACTGGCTCATTCAAATACTTGGCTCTGTCTTGGTTCTAATCGGAGCTTGTATCGGTATAGCCCTCGTTAGTGAAACTACTTTTGGCTTCGAACTTCCATTTCCCACACCAGGCTTAGTCCTCGTGCAACACTTGCAAACTAGTCATGGAATCATAGGTAAGTAAGATTTTGTGTATTCGTTGTCCATCGAAATAAAATTTTGATAAAAAATGTAACTACATTGATCTATGTAGAACAAAAATAATGTGGAGGCAGCTCATTAAACGACGCCAGATTTCAATAATAGGTTGTCAGAAGATTTATTTTTTTATTTTTTATTTAACTACCAGTGATAGGGTTTTTGGGCTCACTGTTAATGCAGCATTGAAAGCATTTTTTTTATGACATAAACCGGTAAACGAGCAGACGGATGGTAAGCAATCGGCGTCGCCCATGGATACCTGGAACACTAGAGGCGTTATAAGTGCGTTATTGGCATTTTGGGGATTAGGAATTTGAGGATCGTTGGGGATTCAGGAATTGGTGAGATTGGGGAAGGGGAGGGTAATTGGGCGTTGCTTCACGTCGGTTTTCTGTGAGGCCGTGGTATCACTCCGGTCGAGCCGGCCCATTCGTGCCGCAGCATGGCTCTCCCACACGCATTATTTGAGGAGCGGCTTGAGAGATGCTTGAGATGTTAGAGAGTGAAGAAGACGCCGTACCGACGTCCCCTACCGCCTGACGCAGGTATTTAGTTTCGGGAGGTACCTGTTTCTTATTGGGCTGGAGGAAAGCCCGGGTGTCATCATCCATCTGAAGGCCATAGTGGAGCACAAGGTGGCAGTGAGCTAAGCACCACCGTGCTCTGACGGAGGTGACCGGCAACAACGACCTCTCACGTTCGGTTTTGGTTCAGACCATGGTACAGAGCGAGGGGGACTGGGAAGGCATCTTCTCACAGAACAGTGTGGATATTTCGAAAACGCAACCCGATTTGTGAAAATGTTACCAAAAATCCCTTATATTGCTTTAAGCCTTTGACTGCCAAAAGAAGACTGTTTTCAAGAACTAATAATAATGTTTAGCTACATTAGAATCAGGGATTTTAAAGAAAAAATATGAATTTAATTATCTGAATACATTTTATTTATGGACTAATGTCTGCCCACGGTTTCGCTCGCGATCTTTTAAACTGACAAATACCAAGCGGTCACCGGTGACCGCAACCTATTGTTCTATAATTGTGTCTACAAAACCGGTACTCGACGAGTTAAAATATTGTCAGGTCTACAAAAGATAAAAAAGAATTAGTGCCCGAGCAGAATTTGAGATACTGGCACTGGAAAGGACGTGTGATTGTTTTATCTTGGAAATTTCACGGGATAGGAACTATGCATTAAAATTCCGGAACGCTCTATCGCTTAAACCACTGAATCTATTGCGATTCGGTACTACGATAGTTTAAGACCTGAGAAAAGATGTATTTTTTATGGAATAAGCCGGTAAACGAGCTGACAAATTACTTGATTGTAAGCAATCGGCAATGGACACTCGAAACACCAGAGGTGGCATTACCGGTCTTTTGGGGCTAGAAAATTTGAGGATTGTTAGACATTCAGGGATTGGGGAGATTGGGGAGGGGGACTTCCGGTAACCCCACTCACACTATGAAAGACAACGCATGTGTTTTATCACGTAGGTTTTTTGTGAGGCCGTGGTATCATTCCAGTCAAGCCGGCCCATTCGTACCGGTCAAATCATCATAGTTCAAGCAAATATCAGTTTTCATTCCGAAAATTCCACGGAAACAGGAACTGTGTTAAACTTTTGAGTCTCTATATCTTATAAACCATCGGACTTATTTGAGTACGACGATAATTTGAGATTCGGATGACGAAATGACGTCTGATAGTTTTCAACCGCTGTATCTATTTGATTGGGATTCATATGGAGTTTCAATCACCGAAACCTCACAGGAATGGATACTATGCGGATAAAATCCCTGTAGGATTGTTTATGTTTTAAAATCATGAAAATAAACAACATTTCACAATAAATATACCTAATTAAATTAATCCTGATGAGATTTATTACACAGAATTGCAATGAACCTTGGAGAAGGCTAATTAAAAATTCCAAAATTTGCCAGAAGTCATTATTATACGCGCACGAAGTCGCGGGAAACAGCTAGTGACTTAATAATTCTGTTTTTGTTTCAGGTCTTTTAGTGTTGCTGTTGGCTGCCGTCAGTTTGGTAGGTGCAATTGCAAACTTAGTGATTGAAGAAAAATTATCAAGTTTTATGAAGAGTTCGTATGTGATTGTAGGAACTGTCACCATAATACTGGCCTATATAGCTGTCTGTATTAAGTTTGGCGATATCAATAAGCTGATATCACTCTTTGGGGATGAAATTGCAACTTTGTCTTTGGGTATAAGTTTTACTGTCCTATCATTTGTCGCGTTGTTGGTCATGATGGGTGCTCGAGTTTTTGTAACTGGTAGTATTAATTTTAATGATAGTTAAATATTTCAATTTAATTACTTCTCAGAAATAATCTCTATCAACCATCTGTTACTGTAAGGTGAAAATCCCAATATTTTTTATTATTTTCTTAATGATGACATCCTATACCTAATGTGAATAGTTTTAATGTAAAAATCCACCGAACTCTGGTTTATTTGGTCAATTATAATTTTATTTTAAAACAAAAATTGGTTCTTTAAGAATTTAAAGAACCAATTTTTGTTTTGAATGTCTTGAAAATCTTTTTGTGCAACAACTGTAGTGAGACGTAGCAAATTAATTTAGAGATACGGATAAAGGCGGAATGCCTGACGTCACTGTACCTCGTAGTCGTATACAGTCCCTGGGTAACTTGAAACTAGTGGAGCTTTACTCGAATAATTCGCGTGAAGGAAGCGTATATTTCAATTGAATAGTGAGCCAACTTGTATATAGTTTGAATATTCAGAATATTCATTGGTGACGAACCGACACATTGTTTTTAGGGATTTGGAACCTCTTACGCTTAAACCCTTCGTCCCAAATGTTACGGTAAGAGAAAACATTTGGAGTATATTTTTCATTTCAACAAAAATATCCTATAAAGTCAACCATGACATTCGGGACGAAGGGCTTATGACCTCCCAAATTCCTGAAAAAATTGTGATCCATGAACCAAAAATCATCATCAACAGCCGAAAAACGTCCACTGCTGGACAAAGGCCTTCCCCTATGTCCTCCACGTCGAACGACAACTTACCACTTGCATCCAGTGGATGAGTCAACCACCGTGTATAAAATGGCGTCCCCTATTAGTGTCTTCGTTCTTATAACTTTATCTAAGTAAGTTGATTAAACGAACATTTTTGGTATGAGAATAAACTCTTGTTTTTTGTTTACTTTTACGTTAATAGATTTGTAGTGCAAATCTCTGAATCTAATTTCCAAAGAAGTTTCAAGATACCACGAGCCGCCAATTCAAGAACAAATTGGATACAATCATTGACATTAATATAGTCGTTCACTTAAATTGTCAAAACTGCTCCTTCTGAATATAGCGTGAAGGTAAGGCGTTTTTTTTAAAGGGGAAAATCGTCCGATATCTCCTGCTGCCTTGGGTGTGGTGATAGGGAGTGTCAGATCAGTTAATGATCTAAAACCTGTCCTGTTCCTACTCTTGCTCGAGCCGAAGCACCGGCAACTCATAAAGGTATAAGTCTCAAACAACCGGCATAAGTGTTCCACCTCCGTATCGGGCATCAACCTTATTGATAAATTGATTCGTTGCCACCTGCGAGCTTTTATGTTAAAAGAACTTACTCCCGATATCTAACATTCTAAAGAGACTAGAACAATTCAAGGGCAAATGTTTGTTCACAGTCCAAATATGTGTAAGTTTCTATTACGCCACATTTACTTATCAGATAGTCGGACGAGGAAACAGTCTATTGTTATCATCGATGTATCGAAGGGATCGATGATAACGAATCTACGAGTCGGACATTTATTCCGATGACTGTGCTCGTGATTCGACAGTGTCTCTCGCTACGTGCTGGTGTTAATTAATTAGCAAAATGTCATCTCCACCGAAAGTTTCGTTCTACGTAGGGTGCATGAATATGATCACCACCCTCGCTCATTTATTGATGGGTGGAGCACTTTTCCTTACATTTATATTAATAGATGGTGAAGACTCCGCGAGGCTTAAAGCACACGCCTGTACGACTGCTCTTGGGGTAAGCATTATTTTTAAACTTTTTAATTTTGTGTTGCCACGTTGATTGATAATGCTAATTTTCTGACCAAACCAATATTCAGTCCTCAAGTCACATGTAGAGTTAATAAGCCTACGGGCATTAATCGATATTTTTTTCGAAGATATACATATAATTAATATAAAACTTAGTTCACGATAATAAACATAAACACTAATAAATATAATAAAATCTTTCTGCCAGTTTACGAAAATCCAATACATTTCAGAAAATACGATAAGATAAAACACACCTAAAACATTGTGTTGGGTCCAATCGCTCTATTTTTTACGTAATATCCATGTCATACATGTATGTACAAATCATAATTTTGAGTGCAGGTAGTGTGATTTACTTATATAAATATTTAAAATTTTCAGATTACAATTCTTTGCAGTCAAGCGGTATTGTCAGTTAACCCTTATGTCGGATTCGAAGACAACTTTATGTACCCCCACAAGTCGAAACTTTACTGGATTATTCAAATAATTGGCTCTGGCCTGGTAGCATGCGGAGCTTGTGTTGGTGTTGCTCTGGTTTATGAAAATTCTAGCAATATCCTTCCGATTCCCACTCCCATACCAGTACAATTCCCCACGAGACACTTGCAAAATGCTCATACAGTTGTAGGTAAGTGAGTTTTCAAAATATTTTTTGTATTGAACATATACACTGGCGTATGTTGAACAAAAATAACGTGGAGGCATCAGCTCAGTAACGGAGCCCGATTTCAATAATAACCTGTCAGAGGTGCTGTCTAATCTTAATTTTAAAGATACTGCAAATTTCAAGCACTAAAGCATGCTTTAATTGAGCACTAGTCACATAGTAGAATAAGTGTTAGAATGTTGCTTAAAATTTGCTTTCTCATTGCGGGCATGCTTGCGAATCGACAAGCGTTCGATTTTTAAACATTTTTGAGGAAGCTTAATAGTTCGCCTTTTAGCATGCTATTTTAAAGCATGTCTAACAGTACCTTAAGCTTTATATAAATAGCGTCAAAACTCCAAATTCGTAAATGAGGTCCTATCAAAAAGATACAGTAATATAATCCGGCCAAAATCGATGTCATTCCTAAACATTGACATTTTTATTCCCTATTCGATTAACAATTAAATGCCAAAATTTTATTCAATAGTATGAATAGTAGCTAAGTACATGCATACTCCTACGTTTCTGATGAATTTCGTGTCGTTTTGTGTCATATAAACGTTACAAGTAACGTATTAGAAGACGTAGTCCAATATATAGGTATAGAATATTTACCTAATGTCACCTGGCACTCTTACCTGTCCTAAAGGTCGATTGTTAGATAATGCTTAGGGCATAAAGTCCGTCTGTACATATGTAAAAATTACACCAGTGTAGATAGCGTCATTAATGGTCGGAAACGTAGTTAAATAGTAGTAGAATGAAACCCATTGTGAAGGGAAGAGCATGCGCCCAAAAATATGTAAAAATAAATTACGGGCGATGTGAAGTCGGGTAATAGCGTTAGAAGAAAAAAAACTACTTTAACGGATTTTTTATTTTTAACTTTTTTATGGGATAAGCCGGTAAAAGAGCATACGTATCACCTGATGGCAAGCGATCGGCGTCACCCATGAACTCCTGGAACTTACCGAACTTTTGGGATTGATCGAGTGATTTGGGAAGGGAGAGATAAATTACATCTTTATTGCGTTTTCACAGATAATTCGAATTATTTTTATTTTTAAGCAGATAGTTTGGTGTGGTATCTTTTATTTTTTTATATTAATTATCTAAATTCTCAATGCTATTATTTTCATATTGAGTTATTGTTATTTTGTTCCTATTTAAATAAACACGGTTGATAAGCTTAATTTGAAATTGTATTCGCATAATCTAATAAAATGTGACTACTTCCCATATCGTTTTTTTTTTACTTTTGCGGACTCGCTTCTCTTAGTTTGTTGCGTTTTCTGTCGAGATTTGTTACTGCGGTGTATATTTTTTTTTATACCATAAAATTGTGGAAACTTTGAGTTACATGATACACACCAATATATTTGAAAAAACCGATAATTTTGCCATAAGATTTTACGGCCTGAAAGATTAGGCTAATTTTTTTTTGGATTTTGGCATTTTCGGTGAAAACGCAATAAAAACGTAATTTTTACGCAATCCAAAAATAGACATTTCAACAAATAAGAAGAACATCCTTTGTTTTCTTAACTTTTAAATTCTTATGTGAGATTTTTCACCTGAAAATTGAACATTTTTTTCGGATAAATAACAGAAGGAAAAATTTATATTTTCAGCAAAACAAAACTGTATGTTAAGTCTATAATTAAATACGCCATGACAAGCTTTCGTAAAAAAAATGAAAAGATGAGGAAGATAAAAATTAAAACTTTAAAAATCAGAATTTCAAATTTATTGCATAACTTTGAGAATATGTACAAAACGACTAAAAAAGTCTAAACACAAAAGTTGTAGATCTTTTTAATATCTATAACTATGCCATTGAACTTTTTTCTGTAGGCTCTATAGGTATAGAGAAAAGCCTAAAGAAAAGTTCAGAAGAACTAAGTAGTTCTTCCACAAATGCCCATAACTTAATTTTTTTTCTCTAACTTCACTTTCTTCTCCTATATTTAATGACGCTTTTCCGTCACTTTGTAATGAGGTTCATTCTACTACTACTTAATGACGTTTTAAACATTAAATGCACCAGCCTATAATTATGTATATTTGCATACAAAGCTTTTATTACATAAATAAATTTAATACTAAAAATAATATATATGCTATATGCTAAAAATAATATAATGACTGCCTCGTTGGCCCGAGTGGTCGCAAGTGCGACTGCCGGGTCTCGGGTTCGATTCCCGGGTCGGGCAAAGTATTACTGGGTTTTCAAAAAATCTCAGTACTAGCACGGAGTCTGGAAATGTGCCCGGTATATGGCAATAGGCTCACCCCCTATTACATGGGACTTATAACATAAATAGTGAAAAGTGGGTGTTATATTGTACAGTGGCATTAAGTGCCGAAATGTGCACCTCTGCCTACCCCTTCGGGGATAAAAAGGTGATGTTATGTAATAATATATATTTATATTACATAAATAAATTTAATACTAATTTAATACTAAATTTAATACTACTTTTATCAATCTTTGGCAATTCTTTTTTATTTATAAATAATATTGTTTTTGTTTCAGGTTTCTTAGTATTGCTGTTGGCATCCGTGACTTTGGTTGGAGCTGTTGCAAACTTATTGTTGGGAGAAAAAATAAAAAGTTTTATGAAGACTTTGTATGTAGTTGCAGGAACTATCACTATATTAATGGCCTACATAGCTATCTGCATTAAGTTTGGCGACATTAATAAGCTATTTTCTGCTGTAGGTGTTAATTCCTCAACATTACCTTTGGGCATAAGTTTTGCTGTCCTATCGTGTGCCGCGTTATTGGTCATGATGTGTGCTCGAGTTGTTGTAACTGGTAGTATTAAGTTTTAATTATAGCTGAGTATTTAAATCAAATTATTGTCATCATAAAAGATACAAATTCCAACATTTTTTTTTCTTAGTGGTGCCACCAGCTTATCAGAACCGTTTCGAATTTGTGTACGGTACACTTATTTAAATTAATCAATCACTATTTTGATACGAAATATTTTAAAGACCAAAAAATCTTTTTTGTACAAGTCCTATCGTGATCGAGAGACATAGTAAATCAATTAAAAGATACAGCTAAAGGTGACGTCAGTACACCACGCACGCTGCTCATGAATAAACAAAGGTCCTGAGGGCCTAATACGACTTTGTTTTGCGTTTATCGAGATCGAAACTTTACTGGTTTCGGCGCTCTGACATACCGGCTCCGAACCAACCAATCAGAGGTCCGAACGCGGTCTCGTTTCGATCAATAGAGATCAGTAGAGTTTTTCTCGGATAGTTGTCGTCAGAAACTAGTATTCAGTTGATTAATTGGCAAACTTGTATATTTTTCGAATATATAAAATGTTGTCCCCTATATGTTCATCGTTTCCCATTGCCGTTCTATGAAATAGTTTGGCTAATGAGAACGAAGACCGCTTTATTAAATATCTAGGTTTACGTCACTTATAAGTTTATGTAAGTAAGTTATTTGATAATAAATACTTTTAATATTAAAATTATCTTTTAAAACAAGCGTTGTTTTTTTATCCTTATGATTATCATCTTCAGCATCATCCTCGGCCGGAATACGTCCAGCGCTGAACAAAGGCATCCAATGGCTCCTCACGAATCTGAAAATGTCATCGGTACATTTTCAGAATCGTTACCTGCCCACGCTACGACTGATCCGTGGTATCCACTCGAGCATTTGCCAGGCCCGTCCGCCGTTGGTCCTTCGAGTGATATGGCCTGCACATGCGGTAACTCTACTTAGGCGAATTTCCTCATTTCGTTTTTCACTGGTCGTACTCTTAGACTGTACCTGGCGAGTGCGTTTTCTTCGTTTTCGATTTCACAGTGTAATTTTGAAAGGAGTTCCAAAGCACATAGTTACGTTATTAGTCTCTTGTAATTGAAAATCATGCGCTGATACATTTGCAAACTTCTTTCCTTTAATACATTATAACCAATCGAAAAGGATAATATAAATTGACACCTATTTTGAACACAGATTCTATATATAGGTTTTTCAATTCACTATAGGGTTTACTCCTGAATCCAATTCCCATCAATCGACATTGCTATTGTGAAGTTTTGTACTCTTCATTCGCAACACTAGCGCCACATTGCATTCGTATTGGGTGGATATTGAATGAACTAAATGGTTTGTCTTTATACAGGACGCTTACATCTCAACAATCATTCAATGTCAACACTATACAACTCTAATCTGAATTGTTAATAGCGTTTAGAGTGGAATATAAAGCCAATCACAAACCCATTTAGTTCATTCATTATCCAGGCAATACGGATGCATTGGGCGCTATTGTTGTAACTCAAGAATAACAACATCAATATCGATCAATTGGAGTTGGATTCGAGACTAAGCCTCCTGGACCTGTTTTGACAATTAAGATTGAGGTTATATTGTTTTGACATTTAATAAATAATTATTGACATTTTATTAACATTGAGTTTCAACCGTGGTTTCAATAGTACACCCATTAGACTGTCATCAGTCATCAGCTGCTCAGTGACCAATAATACGGTTTTCGTCAAGGACTGTCTGCTGATGATCTTCTAGTTTACCTTACACACTGGTGGGCACAGGCAATCGAGTCTAAGGGGAAAGCGTTGGCAGTAATATTAGACGTAGCGAAGGCGATCGGGTTTGGCATAAAGCGCTACTTTTGAAGCTTCAGTTTCGAAGTTCATAGACTTCCCGAGAAATTATGCGAATGGGTCTCCTGCTTCCTTGCAGACAGAAGCATTAAGGTTGTTGTCGAAGGTGAATGCTCTGACTCGCTGTCTGTAAACGCAGGTGTCCCTCAAGGTTGCGTGCTATCGCCTACATTATTCTTCCTCCATGTCAATGACATGCTCCAAATCAGCGGCATTCCTTATTATGTAGATGATAGCACATTCGATGCCTATTAGTGGTGTACCAGTGTGCGGTTCACATTGTTGTTTGTCCGGGATATTTTACACCGGTTAGAATCGCTGGAAATGCGTAGAGATGTAGCTTCACTGTGCATTTTCCATCGCTTATACCACGGGGAGTGCTCTGAGAAATGGTTTGATATGATAACTGCCGCATCTTTTCGCCATTGCCACACAACAGCATTTTCATCCCCATCATATAGATGATCACAACGGTGCGCTGTTCCCGGAATTTTCTGGCTCGCATAGTGTGAAATGATCTATCGTCGGCGATATTTCTGAACCGATACGACCTTCAAACCTTCAAGAAAAGGACGTATTCCTTTTTAAAGTCAACGGCAAGGCCGGTAACGCACCTGTGACTCCTCTGGTGTTGCGGGCGTCCACGGGCGGCGCTGATCGCTTACCATCAGGTGATGGGTCTGCTCGTTTTCCTCCTATTCCATAATAAAAATATTGATGAAAGAATATTTATAATTTCCTTTGGATTACTAATTCTGGAATTGGATATGTTTGCTCCTATAAGATAAAAAGGGCATTATTCATCAATTTATAATTGAGGATAATATATTATGGCAAGATTATCATCAGAAATATTTGCTTCAATATGGCGAATTAATATTTGTATTATTAGCGAGATATCAAAGTGATCGAAAGATAATAGATCTACTCGTCGAATATTTATTGCGATGTCAGTGTTTGTTACTGGACAGTGTCGGCTATAACGTACAAGTTGGTGCTGATTCATTTGTTGACAAAATGGGACAACCTGCAAAACCTTCGTTCTACGTAGGGTGTATGAATGCGATGAGTACGTTTTCACATGTACTTATGGGTGCAGCTGCCATACTTGCGTTTGCACTAGTAGAGGAACCTAATCCATCAGTGTACAACGCCCACGTCTATATTACTGTAATTGGGGTAAGCAGCATTATTTGTATCCTGTACTTTATTTAATCCAAGTTTTCCTTGAAGAACATTTTACCTATTATGAAAAACCGTTAAAACCAAATAAGTCGAATTGTTTCTAAAATAGTCAAATAATTTCGTCATTATTTAATAATGTCAGAGAACAAATTATTATAGTTAAAATAAAATGAGTTTGTTCGAAAACTATGTGAATTATATATTATCGTAAACAATAAATATATACGATCACAATTATGGGAGAAGTAAATGTGATTTGCTTATATATTTAATTTTCTTTATTGCAGGTAACACTCCTTTGCAGTCAAGCGATATTATCAGTTAACCCTCATGTGGGATTCGAAGATAATTTTATGTATCCACAGAAGTCGAAACTTTATTGGATTATTCAGATAATTGGTTGTACCCTGACATTAGTCGGAGCTTGGCTGGGGATAGCCGCAATGCCAGGTAGAATCGCCCCGGGGTTAATATATTATCCCCATGGAATGGTCGGTAAGTAAATCTGAATACATCATTTAAATCGTAATCTTCAATGAAAATATCTTATTTATCCATGAACGGAAGAACACAAACCATGTAGAACCGCCAGCCCTAGAAGAGAGAAAATAGTATAGTGATTTCGAAGGTCCTGACTCTCATTGTTCTTACTCACGTGTGAATTTTTGTTTCTATTGAACCTAAATTTCTTCCTCCTTAATTCTTATATAAAAAAATGCTTTCGATAAAATAGCTTCACAGAAAACTAGCGTGAAACAACGCTTAGTTTTCCCCCTCGCCAAAACCCCGTTTACCCAAAGAGCTCATAACGTTTGTACTTGTTACACTTTTGGTGTTGGGGTGTCGACGGCTTACTTTCAGGCAACAGTTATGCTTGTCTGCTGCCCAATCCCATAAAAGATGCTGACGTCCCAAGTACGTTTACGGCTAGTAGGTACCTACACTTAATCCTCGCATGTACATATATAGATACATATACATAATCATTTATACTTAACTCGTCGAGTACCGGTTTTGTAGACACAATTGTAGAATAATAGGTTGCGGTCACCGGTGACCGCTTGGTATTTGACAGTTTAATGTCGTTGGTTTTTGTTTCAGGTTTCGTAGCCTCGATATTGACTGCTATAACTCTAGTAGGTGCTATTACAAACTTACTGTTGGAGGAGAAATTAAAAAGTTCTACGAAGAGTTTGTATGTGATTGTAGGAACTCTCACTATAATTATGACCTATGTAGCAATGGTCCTACAGTTTAACAGAGCTGCTAGGAACGCAGTCATCTATCGTAGTGGTACTATTGCAATAACTGTCGGTTTAGTTTTTGCTATCTTACCATTTGTTGCATTGGTAGTCATGACTGGTGCCCGAGTAATTGTCACTGGTAGTATTAAGTCTTAATTAGAATTAAGTTTTATAAATTTAATTATGATTCCTCACAAAAACTGCTGATCAACAAACTATACGAGTGTGTTCGTTATTGAAAAACTGAAAATATATAACAGGATTTTGCAATAAGAACCGATTATGTTTTATTATAATGACGTATAGATCAATACCACGAAGATTCGTCAAATCTTAATCTGTAGTTTCGTTACTTATCTTTTGCTATTTTATAAGCATTGTTGAGCTGGTATGAAAGGATAGAAAGACCTAAGACTTGAATAAGGACGTATGTTTCTTATAAGTTTATCAAGTAAGATGTTTTATCATGACACTTTTGAATATTAAAAATATATCATAAGATAGCGTTTTTTTTTATTTTTCCTCATGCATGAATAACGACCAATCTCAACAACAAAATTCGATCTAGATGAGGTAAAGAAGTTATTGACTAGTGTACCTCTTTAACGGGTCGCGTGAGGCAGCGAAGCGCTGCCTCCTCAGAACCTAGCCGTGCGTCGCGAAGACACTCCAGGGATCGCGGGTCGATCTCCGGCCACCCGGAAAAGCTCGGGCCTGCGGACGGCGAGCATGGATACCGCGCACGCCTCAAAGAGCCATGAAGCCACCACGGATGGGGCCCAATAGTGGTGATGCCGATACGGAGCTGCGAAGAACATAAAAGGTTACCGGGACTCCGGCTCGAAGTGCAGGAGTAGGAACGGGGTCGTTTATAGTCAGTAGCAGAGAGATCTTGCCTAGGTGGGAGAAGTAATTCGATGATTTTCCCCCCTTATAAAAAACTTTGTAAATGGTGAGACTTCATTAAGTCATATTTTTTTTTAAACGTAACCCCACACTAGGATTTTCTCCTATGTCGTGGGTGCGTTTACAAACATACAAGTTCACATACACAATGACACCCAGACCCGGAACAACAATTTGTGGATCACACAAAGAGTTGTTCCGTGCGGGAATCGAACCCGCGACACGTTGCACGGCAGCCGGTTGCCCAGACACCGTACCAACCGTGCAGTCATAATTACAAGTTACTAACGTAAATATACAGAGAAAAGCTCTACTAGTAGGCTCCGCGACCTCGCCGCACAAACGCACACGCTGCTCATAAGGAAGAGTCCCTCTGGGACTCGAAACTAGTAGAGCTTTTCGTCCCCGTAGAGCGAAAAGTCATCAAGTCGAAAAATCACGTTTCGAGAAAATGAAGTTTAAAGTTTTAAAAAATTAGATTCGTTATAACTTTAGCTAGCCATTGCCGATCGTCATGTTTTTAGTTTCTATTTGAAGGAAAAAGAGTAAAGTTAATATTATAAAAGCTATAACGCAAGAAAATGTTTTTGTTTTTAAGAAAAATTAAAAATATCAAACTAGTTATTTATTCTTTAAACAATCTCTAGATAATTTTGATTTAGTTAATTGGCGACCAGAGATAGTGATTTTTCACTTAGTTTCAACTCATTATCAATAGAAATAACCGTAGTTAAGTAAACTGGAACTAATTGTTCAAGCACCAAATGTGTATTGTAAATACTACCTATCTAAATTTTAGAAGCTTGTGTGATAAGTTTTGTTTTAAATATGATAATGATGATGTAATTAAACAATTGTAATAAGTTTAATTAAAATTTATTAAAGAAATTAATGCAAAAAAATAGGAAATACAAAAAAAAAGTGAAACAACCTTGCGCTCGCAATAATGAAAACAACAATGTAAAAAAATATTATTAAAAAAAGAATTCAGTATTTATAGGTGTGGACCTATAAATACTTCTTCTTCTCCCGCCTCTGTAATATCTGGCTCCATTGTTGTGTCAACGATATCTTTGTTATTTGGTAGAGATTGAGATTGAGATTGATACCACAAGTGGAGCTCTTGTGGGATTATCCTTTTTGCGCACAAATTGTTTCGGTGGTGCGGGCAAAGTCTTGGATCTGGAGAGAGCCCAGAGGGCTGTTCTCAGAGTAATAGCCTCGAAGCCTTTTAGTTATCCTACTAACGAACTGTAAAAAGAATGTCGAGTACTCACAGTGAGACAGCTTTATGTTCTCTGCACCATCATGAGGAAACATAGTTCGCTGCCATATGATCCAAAATGGTCCCAGAAAAACAGAAAAACGAAACCAATTTGTGAACCAATTCCACACAGAACAGCCTCAGCCAGCTGTCAATATACTGTAATGAGCTCACGTCTTTATAACAAAGCACACAAAATCAATCACATCTATTCCTTAACACGCAGACAAGCAAAATCGAAAATCACATGTTGGCTTCAAACACTAACCTTCACATACACTAACACACACACCCACATACATCATCCTTAATTATCTCTTTTAGTCATACTCACTTTCTTTTTGTCTTTTTAAA